CATGTTGATTGCCAAGCACCCCAATTTTGATCATGTGACCATGGGAATGCTGCAACAATTGCAGTGTGAAAAGTGGTCATAAGTCCTTTTTCTCAGTGCCGTTGTTAAATGAATGGTTGTAAGTTGAGGACCATGTATACAGGGGTGTCAAACTCAAGGCCCACGGGCTGGATACAACATGCACAGGTCACACCCACCCCATCTCCGCAAAGGAGAAAAACATCACAAAATGTCACGTGACAGCAATGTGACACCACGAATTTGACAGCCATGGTATATACCTGTGCAGCTGGACAATCTTCTCAGAATATTTACTGTGCCATCTTACTTATGCATTTGCAGAAGCTGATTTAGTGAGACTTACACACTCCAAGAGGAAAGGGTCTTCTTAGTCATGACACTCTGGTGGCCATGAAAACTGAAAACCTTATCCTCCAGCAACTTTGTTTAGCCTTTTGGATGTCCTGAATGTTTCTATCTCCCAGTGCAACAGACCAACACATTTATTCCCGTGAGGATAAACTAAAATGATTTCTTGTTGAAATGAAACATTGAATGCCAAACTGCAGAACATTTTAGATGCTCAATGTCCTTGAGTCCAGTGGGCTGTTTATTAGTACGCCAGTCTCACATTGGGCTTGAGGGCTGACATCCAAGAGAGAAACTACATATTATGGTGTTCCCATTTTTCTCTTCCCAACATGATCGGGGCTGGAAATATTTATGATGTGCTCTATAATAATCCAGGCAGGCTTTAAAATCCCAATAAGCATCTGGCAGCCTGCTGTACTAATTCTCTGAGGAGAGTGTGCTGGCTGGGATTTAACAACATTTTAATGCAAACCTTGCAAATAGGAGATTTCCTTCTTAGCTTGGTTCCTCCTTCACTGTATTCTTGATTCTATTTATTCTGGAATAGTCTCTAGAAGGAACTGAGTTTTTAAAAAACCAGGGAGAAGGAAGAAGATGCTGAAGTATTCAGGATCCCAATGTATCACTGACTCATAAATCACACTTCTTTTTTTGCCAGATTTCTTGCACTGTGGCAGGCCCACACACATAAGAGTCAAGGGAGGAATTTTGTACAAGGAGCATACAAGCACTACAATACCATCTTAACACTTGGAATATCCTACTCTTGTCGAGTTTCCAACTTCAATAATCACCATATTGGTTAACTCTTCTTAACCCAAAATTTCCTTGCCTGAAGTAGAATTCAAATGCTCCTTTTCCTACTAGATTTTGCCATCCTTTATTTTTAAAATGTTGCTGCACCATTCAGATAACCATTGTAACGTTTCTCACATTGCTGTTTGAAGCTGGTCACTCATCTTTGCTTGTACTATATTGCTTTCCTAGAAATCCTGCTGAAAATTCCTGTATTCAAATTTTCTACATGTGGACACGGAAACTTGAAACCTAAGTTCTTAAACTAGGGCAGGCAGACTTCGGGTTTGGAAAATCTTTTATTTTCTTTTTCAGAGGATACCTAGACATTGATACTCTGAATCCAAGTGCAAGCCAGTGGTTCATGCTTGCAAATCTAAATTATTAAGAACTTGCTCGGCAAAAATTGTGATCAATCTCAGAAGCTAGTCCACAAATCTTTTCTTTTTCAAAAAGAAGTCTCCAGTTCTCTGGTACCTTTACCTGAGACATTCTGTTTTGGCAACAAAATTTATGATCAGTGGCAGGGACAGCTATTAGTTTATTAGTTGTTATTATTTTAGGGCCAATGCAATCATCCAAAAAATTACCCATCTACAGTAAATCACTCAAAGAATAGAATAGAATAGAACAGAATAGAATAGAATAGAATAGAATAGAATAGAATAGAATAGAATAGAATAGAATAGAATAGAATACTTTATTGGCCAAGAGTGATTGGACACACAAGGAATTGGTCTTGGTGTAAATACTCTCAGTATACATAAAAAGAAAAGATACATTCATCAAGAGTCGAGAATCATAAGGTACAACACTTAATGATAGTCATAGGGTAGCATAAGCAATCAAATCATACTAGGAAACAGTCCATATAAATCGTAAGGATACAAGAGACAAAATTACAGTCATACAGTCACAAGTGGAAGGGGATAGATGATAAGAAATGATGAGAAGATTAATAGTAATAGCTCTATCCATCTCCATCCTACTTTTATTAGACCCATCCTTGAGTTCACAGTACACTCCATCTGTAGTCTCAGGAACTCTAGTCTCAGAAACTCAAGAAGACGTATTCTAGAGTAAGCAACTTTGGAATCAGAAAACTGGTAATCTGGAAATACTTTTTAAAAAGAACTCATTTATCTGCATTCCAATTGTTGTAAAGGTTTTTGCAATTAATAAATAGGACAGAAGCCCACAGAGCAGATTGTATAACAAGTATGGTTTCAGACTCATTTCTATTTACATCTACAAGAGAAAATCTCATCCAGATTTCATAAATGGATGGCAGCAACTAATGAATACAGAGATCTGTAGAAGAGAGCTGATCTCTAAGGTACTAATAGGGACAAGCCATTCATTGTCTTAGATGCCAAGGTAAAATATGTGCAAAAATGTGGGGGGGACACAAAAGAATGATAAGCTCCAAGTATAAGAACCTCTAGGCACTACAAATAACTAAGATATATACTACGAAGAAACTCATTCTTTGAGTTTGCATCCTTAAACAGTCAAAACAAGCACCTTTCACCCCTAAAAGAAAGATTGTAGAAGGCTTGGGAGAGTCAGATCTTAAGGTTTAGAGAAATAGAAGAACAAGAAAAAGAATTGCATAAATCCAGCCTGAACTGAACATTACCAGTGGTCACAACATTTATTTATATCCCACTTTTATTATTTCATAAATAATTCAGAACATCAAACATACATAATATTCCTTCATCCTGCTATTTTCCCAACAAACAACCCTATGAGGTGGATAGGGCTAAAAGAGTGTATCTGGGCAAAAGTTACCCAGCTGGCTTTCATGCTACAACTCACCGTCTCCCAGTTTCTAAGCGTGGAGCCTTAACCACCATACCAAGCTGGCAAAGAGAAGGACAAAATGCAGTATTTAGAACAACGCAAGTCCAGCCAGCAAGCCAGTCCTGAACCAGATCCTTCAACATTACAATATTTTGTTAATTCTCTAGATGAAGAAAACTGTTTTGAAATGCAACATGATATATTCCTAAATAAAGTCATATTGAAAAGGTCCAACATGTGTCATGATCTAGCTACTGTCAGGGGAAAACAAATATAGAAAGAAAAGATAACATCCTGATGTCCTGTTTGTACATCTCTAGAATTCCTTGGCTGTTGGAATCTAGTACAAAAGAGACAAGACACACACACACACACACACACACACACACACACACACACAGACACACACACACACAAGTCCAAATAACACCCAGTAACACACTTACTGGTTGCCTTGAGCTCAGAGCTCTCACCCCAGTCTCTTTCCTCCCTCCCACAATCTAATTTGGAAATACTAACACTAGCCTCCCTTATGTAAAGTTATTTTAAAGGCGGGAGGAAAGTATAGAAAGCACTGGGAGCCCCCCCCCCCCATTAGCATCACCCCATGCTTGCGAATTGAGCCGTTTAAATCTTGCCGTTCAAGTTCCTACCCAGGGCTTGCAGCTTAGAGAAAAGAAAGGGGGAGGGGGCAACCCTCAGAATTAGATACCCAACAGGAGCACTTTCAGGGGAGGAAACCACTCAAACCGAAACGGGGTGTCTGCCAACCTTTCTCGGATTTACGCCTCTTCCCCTAAAAAATCACAAAGGGAGATGCGGCTGCTGTTATTCCAAAGGTGATGCCAGCAGAGCACACAGCCCTTGGGTTGAAACCATCTTCAAGTTGGTGGACCGCGGATACATACATACATACATACATACATACATACATACATACATACATACACACACACACACACACACACACACACACACACACACACACACACA